TGCTGTCCGACGGTACATTCCACGGTGGGCTCGATGAGGTCGTGGGACGATAGGAACCACACTAACGGGGTTCTGAAGGGGGTTAGGTGAAGATTTCACAGTTCTACCTCCTTCAGAGCATGTGAAAAACTTCATACCTTGTGTGTGAACATACATGGCTCAGCCCTACACGGAACACAGCCGTGTTGGTACTTTCACAAACTTGATTGCGCAATCTATCGTGTCGATTGTACAAATAACCATGTTACTGGATGACCTACAGCCTTCACTTTAAATGTATAAATTCCGTTTGCTCGAGCCATATTCAAAGCAAGTTTTAACAACGTTTTGCGTGGGGTTACTATTGCTAAATTTTACGGAGATTGAGGCACTACGAGTAACATCATGCTACAGAATTATGAGACTTTGATCTAAGTATTATAAGGGAATCCAGCCAGTGAAAGGAGTTTGCAGTATTTGGTTGCAAAAACAACTGCACTGAGCTTTTTGTTGACCTCAATTACGCTTTGCCTGAAAACAAATCCAGCAAAACAATCGGTCAGAAAATATCTGAATGCATCTTGTACATACCATCAAATCGAAACTATGGAAGAGGCAAGTAGGACTTCTTCGATGAGCAATAACTTCCCCCAATTAAAAATCAGTGACAGTATATTCAAAAACATAAGCAGTGGTAAAGAACGCTTATCCTAACGTGCTACGCAGTAAGCAGTTAGCTCAGCATCTTTGTAAGTCAATTTACGACACAGAATCTTGTTAGAATAAATTTATTAAATGAGGCAGTTGATAACCGAAATGTTGACTCTCTGGGAAGCAAAATGTCTGTCGTGTAAACATTGTGTAGTCGTATGTACGTGATAAGCTTATCCCTCTAGGTTTAGCTATTCCATGCGGAAATAATTTTTGCACACATCTCCTGACAGTTAAGGAGAGTAGAATGGTGTGTCAGGAAGCATTAATGTGAAGGCCCTTGTCAACGGAGAAGCAAAATCTCGCGCAGTTTTTCTCACTGCGAGATGCCTCCTTCTGCAGATGAAAAACACAACACGCCAAAATCTTTATTTTGAATAACAAATAACACAAAAGCGTTCTTCCAAAAGCGCTTACAGTAGAGTGGAATAAACCGGGCAGCGTAAAGGTTTAAACAGTACTGGCGGGGAGGTTGTGGGGCTGATAATTTTTTTTTGTTCATCGTAAACAAAAGGAACAAAAGTGTAACAAAAAGCACAAATCAAAAGAAGTAAAAAAGGAGGGGGAATAGTATGAGTGAGAAGGAATGCATCATCATTATCATCAGCAGAGTACAGGGGAAGTCAGGCGCTTTTTGGAAACTTAAATTCAAAGTATCGCGGTTAACCCAGTGGCGCAGTAGCAAAAACTTCTTACGGGGGCAGTGAAAGATTCAGTCCACATACACAAACATTCACAGTATCAAGATGCAATGCGTGAAATTGTGCGTGCCAAAGAAACACAGTTTCTCATGCTCGATAAGGTTTTAGTAATGCGAATAATCGCTGCCTCTGGGAAGAGCAAACACAGTCGAAACTGATCACCGGTGGCCGTTACTGTTGCTGCCGCTGCGAATAATATATGCGCAGCATTTAAGGTCGCATATACTTTTTGTTTATAGCTATAAATACGGCAGGCATACTTACAACATCGCTTAGCAGGTCGCTACTGGACCACCATCGTCTGGTAAGCGCTGGTCTACTCAAGCACTCCTACAAGGAGGATAAAAGTAGAAAAGATCATCAAGCACAGACTGTCCAGACTGACTTTAATTAACCTTCAGATAAGGAAGTTTTACTGGCATTGAGTGCATTCTAGTTACTTCCACTGGGTATCTCATAAAGTTCTAGGAACTTTTCCGCAGGCTACCATCCCCTTGATACTACTGGCGTACATAAGTGACCCCAATACATGCGAACATTAGAAGAAGAAGATTCGATCACTGTCGGAGAAACTGGCAGACTTCTTAAGACGTTACTTGCCGAACACGCTGCGGCAGCAATGTGTCTAAATGATGCCAATTGTCAAGTTGCGGCTCATTCGACGAGACCCGGCCACACACTAAAGTTTTATAAGACCTAAATGCTCGTAAGAGGTGACAATCGTGTGAGCCGAGAACTACTTGAATCATCGTTCACGGAACCCCAATCCATAAACAAGTGCAAAGATTTGCCCAACCCATATTCGGTGCTGAGACTGAATTTGGCCAAAGAAAGTCGCTGTTTGGGGAACTCACAGGCCATCGCGTCGTCTAACATTAATACCAGAGAGCCGGATGGCCGAGCAATCATCACGTCCGAGTCCACCACGCGTGATGATAGTTCAGCAGGTCAGAGCCCATATTCCGGTCAACAAGCTATCAACGCACAAGTTGGCAATCATCATTCGTTTGCAGTAATGGCTGTTTCCTATAAATACGGCAAAGCCCCGTGAATATATTACCCGTTCCTGCTATTGTTTTCTACTCATGTCTCTGATGAAGAATCCGCGAAGGATGTCGAAACGCCAGGCGAATAAAAGTGTTGTCCCAGCGATCGAATCTTCGTCTCAATAAAAGACCTACTCCGAATCCACTGCAGTGTAGCTAACGCGTATGCACATTAACTTTACACAGGTCTCTGTTAAAACCATTAATGGGCCTTTGGACAGAACACTTTAACTTTAGTAACTTAATACCGGCCATCGCTTTGATTGCGATGACACTGTTAACTATCCGTTTCAATTTTAAAGAAATTTCAATTCTGTCGAAGTAAAGCTTATACTTTTTTTATCTCCGTGTATGCTTCTGCGGTTCTTGGCGGAACATTCGCAAATTCTTTTGAAACCTTACCCACCATTCCATAATTATTATAGAGAACGTGTCATGGAATACTTTTCCTTTCACGTCTAGTTTTGCGTCCTTTGCCGATCGTCAGTGAGACCTCTCCACCGATGAAGTCACCAGTAATATGGCTGAAAGAACACAAATTTTTACCTATGGTCACGCTTGCAGCCGGCGAATGCGATTATTGATTTTTAGTTAAAGCTTATGCAAGCAAAAGATTTTCCTTCGGTGTCATCTGAACATAAATTACTATACTCACGTTTTTGAATTTGAGAAGGAGCGAAGATATCAGTTTCTGCTGATATCTTCGGCTCAAAACCCCCTACAAATTAAGTCAGGTTTGCAGCCATTCTGGCGGATTCTAGACGATTCCTTAGGAAATCCTGCACGGGCAGTCAGCTTGGTATTCCGTACTGGTGGATTCCATACGAGCAGTAAGCTGGACGAGTAAAATCGATCCAATTGTGATTAAATTGACGGCACAAGGCGTGGCGTTTGTAGCTCAACTGGTAGAGCGTTGGCTGCGCAAAAGCCTTTCCTTCTGTGCGGGTTCGGCTCCGACTGAGGCCGCGAGTTTTTTTACAATTGGTTAAACTAAATCTTCGGCATAGTCGACCGAGTTTTAAACTCTAATGACTCCAGTGAACATGCTACGTCTCCCTCTGCTCATATAGAACCTAATAGTTAGTATCTATTGATGAGAGTAGAAAAAGAAACATCAAGCAGGGGCAGAAAGTCAAAGAAAAGATGAATGGGATGTCAAGATAAGAAATATTAAAAAAGAGGGGAGAGGAGAATGTACCCAGTTTGGCTTCGGTCCAGTGCTTGCACGCAGATGTGATGTTGGTAAAACGTCATTGTACGGATAGTAGTAGCGCGAGGTGTAGTAGTTGTAGTAACTCGGCAGCGGGGTCACGTAGCTCTTCGGGTAGTAATCACTGTAGTAGTACCTGCTGGCTGGCACGTAGTCGTGATAGTACGGATAGCTGGAGTATCTGCCCGGATAGTAGTAAGTATACGGGTAGGTTCTGTCATAGATTGTCTTGGCTGGTAGATATCCGTATGGATAGCTGCTGGGATAGCGAGAACCCACCACAGTGACCGCGGGTGTGTAGGTGGTGTAACGTACGGGCTCCACGCTTCTTGACCAGTATCGTCCGCGAACGTAGTCGGAAT